TATATATATATATATATGTCTCTCGTAAATGAGTCCTTGAAGCTCAATGAGACTAATGTGTATAAATAAAGGTTGAATTGAATGAAATATTAAAAGCAACAATAAAACAAACAAAAAAAGATACACCACTATAAACTTCATAAGGCTATAGCTATTTTTTTTTAAATATTCATTTTAACATATACCACACACATACTGTATGCTTCTGTCCTTTTTTAAATGAACCTTGTGCAATGTATCATACTCTTAATTTAACTACATTATTATTATTATTATTATTATTGTTGTGAAAGAAGCTATTGAGACAATACAGAGACAAAAAAAAACAAACAAAAAAAAACAACAAACAAACAAAACCCCAAAAGTAAATAAAGTTTTTTCATATTGTACTGTAATTTATTGTGTTCTTATGTATTGTACTAAACAGGATTGTATGTTGTATTACACAGTGTTGTACTTTACAGTTTTGAATGTATTGTATTGCTTAGTAATGCTGAAGTGCTTTAAAGGAGAGCAAATGTCTTTTAGTTTAAAGGGTTTGGGATTTTTCAAATAATTTAGTTTAGTGAAATTAAATGTCTCTGCATAAACAAAAAATAGGTTTTAAAATTAAGCAAACTCTGTTAAACTCCACTGGATTATCCAAAAAGGAGGCACTATCACAAAAAAACAACAACAACAAAAAAAACCCTGCACTGCATACTTTATATTAAACCTATATTTTATGAATGTACAAACCAGTCACAAAAAAGCACAAGCCAGTGTATCTCTTGTGCCAGTCCCAACCACAGGTAAATGGTGAAGGTTGTGTCAGAAAAGGCATTCGATATTAAACACTTTTGTCAAAAATAACATGCAAGTTCATCTAAGTGACAATGGACTGGTCGAGTGGGTTGACAATGACTGCCGCCAGTGCTGCTGACAAACAGGGCACCAGTGGAAGCTGTGTTACTGTTAGCCAAAGACCATGAGGAGGGAAAGTGTCAGGAGACAGAGGAAGGAGAGGAAAGTCAAGAACATAGGACTGAAGGTTGCAACTTTAAATGTGGAGACAATGACAGGCAAAGGCAGAGAGAGCTAGCTGAGAAGACAGGAATATAAAACGTTGCAACGTAGAACAAAGAGGGAGGAAGCACAGGCAAAGCAGAAGGTGTATGATGAGTTGTATGGGAAGCTGGACACTAAAGAGGGTGAGAAGGACTTGTGGCGGAACAAAGGATGTGCAACAGGTTAGGCTCGTTAAAGATAGGAATGGTAATGTTCTAACAAGTGAGGAGAGTGTGATGGGGAGATGGAAGGAATACTTTGAGGAGCTAATGAATGAAGAGAATGAAAGAGAAAGAAGAGAAGAGGTCATAGAAACTGTGGTCCAGGTAATGGGAAAGATTAGTGAGGATGAAGCTCGGAAAGCTCTGAAAAGAATGAAGAAGGGGAACGCAGTAGGACCTGATGACATACCAGTGGAGGTTTGAAAATGTCTAAGAGAGATGGCAGTGAGGTTTTTAACTAAAATATTCAATGACATATTTGAGGGTGAGAAAATGCCTGAGGAATGGAGAAGCAGTGTGCTGGTGCCCATTTGGTGATGTACAGAGTTGTAGCAACTACAGGAGAATTAAGCTGATGAGTCACACAATGAAGATCAGGGAGAGAGCTGTGGAAGCTAGACTTGGACGAGAGGTGACTATCTGTGAGCAGCAGTATGGTTTCATGCCAAGAAAGAGCACCACAGATGTTGTCTTTGCTTTGAGAATGCTGATGGAGAAGTACAGAGAGGGTCTGAAAGAACTCCATTGTGTCTTTGTGGATTTTGAAAAAGCATATGACAGAGTGCCGATGGAGGAGGTGTGGTATTACATGAGGAAATCTGGAGTGGCAGAGAAGTATTTTAGACTGGTACAGGACATGTATGAGGACAGCAGGACAGTGGTGAGATGTGCTGTAGAAGTGACAGATAGCTTCAAGGTGGAGGTGGGAGTGCATCAAGGATCGGCTCTGAGCCCCTTCTTGTTTGCTCTGGTTATGGACCGACTAACAGATGAGGTCAGGCAGGAATCCCCATGGATGATGATGTTTGCAGATGACATTGTGATCTGTGGTGAGAACAGGGAACAGGTGGAAGAGAACTTGGAGATGTGGAGGTATGCACTTGAAAGAAAAAGAATGAAAGTCAGCAGTAGTAAGACAGAGTACATGTGTGTGAATGAGAGGGAGGCTGGTGGAACAGTGAGGCTACAAGGAGCAGAGGTCACAAAGGTGCAGGACTTCAAGTACTTGGGGTCCACCGTCCAGGAAAACGAGGAGTGTGGTAAAGAAGTGAAAAAGAGAGTCCAGACAGGATGGAGTGGATGGAGAAAAGTTTCAGGAGTGATTATAACAAAAGTGTGGCAGCTAAAGTCAAAGGAAAAGTTTACAAAACAGTGGTGAGACCCATTCAATTCAGTTTATGTATTTAATGCCAAGTCACAACAAAAGTTATCTCAGGGCACTGAACAAAAACATTCACATACATTATAAATGCCAATTAGTAAAATGTATCTGTCTAAAGAAGGCAGGAAGCCAGCAGACGAGCAGCTATGTTGTATGGTCCAGAGACAGTGGCACTAACAAAAAGACAGGAGAAAGAACTGGACGTGGCAGAAATGAAGATGTTGAGGTTCTCCTTAGGTGTGACAAGGATACATAATATTAGGAATGAGATCATCAGAGGTACAACACAGGTTGAACAACTGGGAGATACAGTTAGCGAGGCCAGACTGAGATGGTTTGGACATGTCCAGAGAAGGGACAGTGGGTATATTGGTAGAAGGATGTTAGAAATGCAGCTGCCAGGAAAAAGACAAAGAGGAGATATATGGATGCAGTTAGAGAGGACATGAAGGTAATTGGAGTGAGGACAGAGGATGCAGAGGACAGAGTGAGATGGAGGAGGATGACTCACTGTGGCAAGCCCTGGAGAGGGAAAAGACGAAAGAAGAAGACAAGGAATGTACAGTTTTATCAGAGGTTTAACACAACTAACACCAAATAAGAGCCCCACATTTAATGTTGTCAGGTATTTCACATTTGCCATAATATGATAAAATGCAACACATTTCTTAGTCTAAAAAAGTGGCAACAAACATAGTGCTGCCTCACCTATCAGCTCATCCCCAATGACATAAAAGGACTTCCCAGTGGCTCCTGTAGGAAGAAGCAGAAAAACACGTAATACTGTGATGACTGTTTAAGCCATCAGACAATTAATTTTCCTTGTTTTGTTCCTCCCACTCCACCCGTCCACCCACACAGTGCTTCAGACAGTCAGCTCAGAACAGACTGAATTTACTACCTAACATGACAATGGCGCTGATTTGTCCGAAACCTGGCACATCTAGAGGTTTCCCGTTCATCACTGAGCTGAGTCCTGCCCTAAGCAGGTCTCGAATAAAGTTTTCTGCATACTGCTGGAGTTTGGACACACTGAAGACCAGTCTCAATGTTGCCATCACATCACCATTTTTGTTACTGGGAGGACAAGAAAAAACAGTAAAGTGTGTGTGTGTGTGTGTGTGTGTGTATGCTTTTTTATGTGAAATAATCTCAGTTCAGCTTTCACTCACCCAAAGGCAACAATGTTGCAGCCTTCAAAGTACTTTGATATGGAGGAGGCCACAAAGATATCTTTAATCTACAAAAGCAGGATAAGTGATAATTGAACACTTTTCAACGTAAAATATTAGTTTTAACTTTGTTGCAAATAAGCGCTCACCTTGGATGTTAAAGCTGTTGAAAGTATTATAGAGAAACCAGAGTTCACATTCTGCAGAGTAGAATTGTACTTCAGACCTTTCAACTCCACTGTCTCCAAGTAATGACGAGGCTCCCGCACCACGTATGCTAACAGCAAAAAGACAACAATTCAATGTAGCAGCTGTGATTAAAAAATGAGCAAGGAAGAGTAGCAAAATAATTAACCAATACATGTATTTGGTGTTAAAATGTGTTGAAAGTATGTTATGGTGCATTAACTCACCTATAGCAAGGCCTACAAAGATGCCTACAGCGAGGAAGAGGAAGACACAGGTGATGACGATGCACTTGTACCAGCTGGGGCTGGAGGGAGCAGAGAAAATCCCTGAAGGCGACCATGATTCTCCTCCTCCATCTTTCTTGATGTCCATGTTAGAATCTCAGCACCAGCCTCACAGCTCACATTCAACTGGCCTCCAAATCCCAACACCTGACAAACAAAACGATCCAGGACGTTTATCCAGAGCTGTAACAACTCAACTGAAACTAGGGCCTGTACAACATTATAAAAATACAAAATGTGAACATGGGTGGCTGGAGTTGGGGGTTCGAATCCACCAGCAGTCACATGCCCAAGTGTCCCTGGACACTGACACTGAACCCCTATTGCCTTCGATGTGTGTCCCATCAGTGTATGAATGTGATCTAAAAGCACTGATTAGTCTCTTTAGAATGATTTGTTCAATTAGCTTTGTAGAGATCTAGTAGAGTGCTGTATGAATGGGTAAATGAGGCACAGATTGTAGGGTAAAGTGCTTTGAGTATCTTGAAATAAGATAGAAAGGCGCTATATAAGTACAGTCCATTTACCATAATAGAAATGCAGCCCTAAATGTTAGGTTTCAATGTCCTTTTATTGGAGATATATGGATAAAAAACAAACAATAAAACCTATTGTGCTATCTGTAGTCAGACATTGTAAACGGACTTTACTTATATAGCGCCTTTCTATCTTATTTCAAGATACTCAAAGCACTTTACACTACAATCTGTGCCTCCTTTACCCATTTATACAGCTCTCTACTAGATCTTTACAAAACTAATTGAACAAATCATTCTAAAGAGACTAATCAGTGCTTTTAGATCACATTCATACACTGATGGGACACACATCAGAGGCTATGAGGGGTTCAGTGTCTTGCCTAGGGACACTTCGACATGTGACTGCTGGTAGATTTGAACCCCCAACTCTCGCATTGGAGAACAACTGCTCTAACCACTCAGCCACAGTATTGTAGGTTTTGATATGTATCATTAATAGTGTCCATGTTGTTACGGAGCCTCTTTTCATAAACATTTGACATTAATAGTAAAAAGACATAAAACAACTAAAAACATACTCTCACCATAAAGAATAAATCCTTTGTTTTCTTAGAAATGGAGGGTACTGTGCTGTATCTATAAGCTGCTTTTAGGACCATGCTCCTCAGGGCAAATATCTCTGAGAATGTTGATGGATGTTTGGTGGTCACAACCAAAGTCCTGAGGGGACAACATAGACCTTGACTTTCCACAACTTCTTTATTTATGTCAAATCAAGGTGTTTCTCAACATTTTCTTTCTTCCTGATCATCACCAGGGATTGCTCCATCTATCACCGCTGCCTTCCTCTGTAGCTTATCAATCACAATGTCCAATTGAATAGTCATCACAGGTTTGAGTCGTGATCTGGAAGTCCCATAGTTTCTTATACTCCTTGGTGGCATCCCCCACTTTAACAGTGGGACCTCCAGCCCATACTTGGCACAGTATATTATTCCAGCCACTCGGTTATGGCGTTCCATGTATGGACCGTTTCTTTTTGTTGAAATGTTTCATCTTTCATCCAAAAGACTTCAACCAGTTTGATGGTGCTCAGGTGGTCTCTTTAGTCCGCCCTCACCCCAGCCGACTCGTTTGATGCAGTCAGTCATGGCCAAAGTGGTTCAAAATATCCTGATTCATGCTCAATAATCCAGGTAGAAAAATCCAATAAAGTTAAGTCAGGTCCTCTGGACGGATACTTTTTGTTGAAACGTTTTATCTTTCAGACAGGCCCTGGGATTTGACCTGGCGACCTTCTCGCTGAGAGGTAAAAAGCACTACCAACTGATCCACTGTGCCATTCCCCCACATCCAATATATTTTAACAAAAGCTTTGTTCTATTTTTAAGTTATTGAGTGAAAATTGAAAATTTAGGGAACTTTGCTGTTGGTTTACAGCCAAATCACATACTATAGTGTGAAAGAGTACAACAAAGTGTGCACTAAATATGATGTAATTTGTACTATAAAGAATAGTGTACTAAATACAAATATTGTGACATGTATAAAATATATGTTGCAATTGTACACCTTAATTCTCAGAAACATATCAATAATAAATAAGAAATAAAAATAATCTGTAAAATAGAAAATTTGAAACAGTTATGGTTTTAAAGTTAACGTGAGTCGAAAAACATTTAAGTGCATCAAAGCATTTAAAAGTGCAGAATGGTGCGTAAAAGGCACCAGAAAAAAAAAAAAGGCTCCGATTGCAAATTAAATCTGAAGAAAGGCCAAGGGATTTTTTTCATCTAGTTTGTGTTCTGCTGAACTGAGGGAGTTCCTCCATGAACATCAACAATCCAGGCTTTATTCTGAGCCTAAAAGCAGCTGCACTCACCTCTTTCTCCTCTCATTACTCTGAAAGTTGACACCGTAGGGAGCCCGCACTTCTTGGCGCACATAAGAGCAGAAGGACGGATGGAAAGATGGAGCCACTGGGGGCCAAGAGGTCCACTATTTGTTGCACCTGAGCGCGGGGCGTGCCGTGTCCATCCCGCAGGTAACTCATTCCTTCTGTTTACCCAAAGAGGTCCACTTTAGCCTTAGAAATACATGTCCAGCTCATGTTCCTTCCACCTTGATCCTTTGGTTACACCCGGGCGTTTCTCCTGTTACCCCAAAGTCTCCATGAAAACATAAAACATCATTTGAAAGGCTACAATAATAAAATTATGGCTAAAAAGCGGCACAAAAAGTCGGCATGTTGTTCGGTGGAGCTCTGTGCTTCTTCTCAAAGCCTTCTTGTATGTGCTCCATTGACACAGTGACTGAGCAGCAGAGGAGGAGCGAAGACTCCTGGAATTTGGCCTTTTTATTCCACCTTTTAAAACTCAAACACACCTGACAAGCCACCAGTCCAGCTTCTTTCATAACTCGTTGTGCTCCAACTTCTCTTTGGGGAATTTCATTTAAAGTTGTGTTTTAAACATTGCACAGCACATTTTAACAAACCCCATTTTCAGTGTTTGTCCAGTGCCATAAACTAGATTATTCGTTCATAATCCAAACTAATCCAAAAAAAAAACCCTGCACAGTCCTCCCCACACCCTGCTTAATGTGTCCGTCTTTAAGCTGTTGTCACAAATGCGTCTTTGTGAGTGTGCAGACAAGCTTGGACGGCTTATTTTCAAACAGAAACTCCCTTTATTCCTTTAAACACCTTTAACGGGGGGAATAAAAAAAAATAATTCAGTGGTCTGTCGGCACATTGCCGACTGCTCAAATGAGATAAGAGCAGGTGAGTGAAACGTCCATCAGGCACTTGCAATCACTCGATTCATTGTCCTTACTCTTTTTTTTTTAAATTAGCCAGTTTGCACAGCAATGACTGAGCTGCACGGAAAATAAATGATATCAAACTAGTTAAACTTTCAGTAGTTCTTCAGAACAGAACAAAAACTTCTGATATCCAGAACACACCACTTCTTTTACTTTATTTTCTTATCAAAAACAAAGATTAGTAAAAGGTTTACCCATTGTAGATAAAAAGTAAATTGTTTCATTTGTTTCCACAGTAACAAATTACTTTTTACAACACAAAGTTTTGCAAAGTTTGCACATGACGGACAATAAAACTGAAGTGCAACTGAGCATTATTTTGCTGATGAACTTAAAACAACATGCAAGTTGTATGACATAAGTGTATTGTAATGGTTTAAACTAAACTAAATGGCAAAAAAAAAGAAAATCAACAGTGACATTTAGCAGCATGTAGTTATCCATCTTGCTGCTGGATGAATGGGTTTGGAATGGCCTCCATGCCATCCTGAGGACAGATCAGCACTACGGAGGTTCCTCTGCAGACCACCAGCCCCAACTGTCGGGTGTCTTCTGTCAGCTTTAACTGGTCATCTGGATCTAGACACATAAAAAACAAAATATATATATATATATATATATATGTGTGTGTGTGTGTGTATGTATGCATAAGTGGCCATCTATGACTATGATTTGGCAACCCAATTTTTGACTGAGACCTTTTTTACTCCTAGATGCAGCTACACACCAAACTAGAAGTCAGCACATTGCTTATTTTTTAAGCTATCCAATTCACAAGGTTTACATATATACATACGTTGTGGCAGCCATCTTGGATTTGGACATGGCAACCCATTTTCAAAAAGAACCAAAGTAATGCCGAGGATTGAAATCAGCAGTTCCCAAACTTTTCAGCTTGTTGCCCACAAAGACCTGGGACCCTGACTGGTGCTGATTAAAGCATACAAACATTAACGAGCCAATGAAACAAGGAGATAACAGCCTCATCAGCTATCATATATTGTTTGTAACCAATTATGAGGATTGGTTTTATTTTTGGGAGGCATGGTGGTGCAGTTGGTAGAGCTGTCGTCTCTCAGCAAAGTCGCCAGATCGAATCCTGTGCAAGGACCTTTCTGGGTGGAGTTTGCATGTTCCCTCTGTGCTTGTATGGGTTTTCTCCAGTTTCCTCACACAGACCAAAAACATGCATGTTAGGCTGAATGGTAACTCTAAATTATCCCTAGGTGTGAGTGAGAGAGTGAATGGTTGTCTCATTTATCTCCATGTGTCCCTGTGATGGACTTGCAACCTGACCTGGGTGTCCCCCCCCACCTCTCACAGGGATGTCTGGACATGGGCACCAGTGACCCCCACGACCCGAAAATAATGGATGTTTTTCTTTTTTGCAACAGGGCAAAATGAAGCACTTGTTCTATTTATTTTAGTTCTGGAAATCATTCCAGGACAACCTCCACTGGGTGCTTTATATTTACCACGCATGTACTCGATTGTGCCGTCCAGCACCAGGTTCAGAAGAGGATCAAATCCTTTCAGGACCCCGCTGGCTGAGAACAACAACAACAACAAAAAAAGAGTTTGAATACTTAAACCTTTCATTAATTCATTAACTGGCTTTAGCTTCGACCTTCATTGCTGCACTACACAAACCTTCTCGGCCTCCTTGAAACTTAACACGAATCGTCTTGTCGATGTATTTGGACAAGTCGAAGATGCTCTCCTTCTTCTTTTTTTCTTTATCCTGTTGAAAGCCAAATTAAGTTGGTTTTAGGTTACAAACAACAGTCCACAAACAAAATTTAGCCCCGGGTTAGCTTGTTGCTCTGGTTAATCAATCAAACAAAAAATCATATCTCGTTACGCTACAAAATAATTTAACTTATTCCATTATTCATAAAATACACTTGCATATCAACATCAAAGCCACATAAATGAATGGCTACAAATTAAAAAACAAATATCGGAATGGAAACGAATAAAATCCGAACTCACCGCCATGTTAGCTAAATAACCCGGAAGTTAAACTTTAACCCCGGAAATGTTCCTCTTAGCAAAACTTTCCGGATGTGACGTCTTCAGTTTTTTTTTTTCAAGAAAACTTTATTTATCAAAAACAAGTACAATAGTGTAAAGCTGAAAAGGGCACAGTAGAGGCAGACATAGATATGGGAACATCGAAACAAAACTGATTACAGAATGATAAGGTAAAAAATAAATTAATTAACAAAATAAACTACAGCAAGGGGTGGGTATACTATATATTTTAGGATTAGGATTAGCATGCATTAGTGGGCAATTCCATTAACATTTCATACAGGTCTTCATATGTTTCAATATACTTTGTATTTCAGAGATTTCAAATATAATTGGAATTCAGATAAAAAAATGTTAAAACATCTTCAGTTTTGTATTTGCCGAAGTTAAAGTTGGGAATAAAAAAAAATCTTGTGTTTTAGTTTAAACTGTTCTTTGCATTTTGAGAAATTAATTGAATACCTAAATTGACGTTCCACTCCTTTCACAAGCAGTTCAGTGTAATGATGTTTGTTTTATTTATTCCTGGGATCCCAACCATTCATCTCACCAAGAACCGACTCGTACCGTCCTAACACCTTGTTGCTTTGTGTTCCTTGTAACTTTGCATGTAAGCGATGTTTGGACATTTATATTAAGCTTACACATAGAATACTAGCATTGTTCAAAGTTAATAAACTTTAACATTGTAAATATTAAAGTTTACAATAAACTTTAATATTGTAAGTAAATTTGTAATGTTTTTAATTCACTGATTTCCCCTCATGTTTGAACAAAATATTTTCAATTCACTAATGTTTGACATAAAACATGAACATTTGAGTGCACTCTGACTGTGTACTGCTGTAGCTCTGTACCCCCCCCCCCCCGCCACACCTCCCCAACACAGTTTTTAATGCCATTGTACCACTTGACTGGTTGAATTATTTATAGCCGGTAAAGCCTTTAGCCACAGCTAAGCAGTGCAGTTACAAAATATTCAAAAGAACAATCAATTCATCAATTAATTAAGAAAAAAAAACTGGTATATGAACTAGCTCGGTCACACTGTGTCACTGCTATTAATAAACACGAATTGCATACCAGTTGGTGTGTTGTACAGCAGAAGTGGGTCAAGACATTTGGTGCGGCTATTTATTGTCACATGGTTTGCAGGGTGGAGCTGAGCTGAAGCTCACCTCCCCCTGAGCCAGTAAACAAAACAGAACATGGACGATGAATCTGCTTTACATGTAAAGGACTCAGAGCCCAATTTAATTCCTGATACCACCCTAAGGATAGGAGGAGAGAGCTTTTATGTCAACCGTCAATGCTTGGCCCTCCAGAGTCCATACTTTAGGGCTCTCTTCTTTGGATGTGGTGTGGAGAGCAACAAAAAGCAGGTAGAAATCAAAGGCGTTGCTCCGCAACATTTCAAAGTGTTGATGGAGCACAGCAAGACACACAGCCTGACTTTGGACAGAGAAAATATTCTGGGGATCTTTGAGACTGCAAACTATTTACAAATGGAGCAAGCTAAACTTCTGTGCTGCAAGTTTCTCGAGCGTGAGCTGCACCTTAGCAACTGTTTGGGAATGATGGCCTATGCCTGGCAGTTTGGCTGCACTCCATTATACACTGCAGCACGACAGGTGGCACTCACACACTTCTCAGCAATCACGGCTCTGAATGACTTCCTGTATCTTACAAAAGAGTCCTTAGCAAATCTCCTTGCCAGCGATGACCTGGCCCTCTTTAAAGATGACTTGGTCCTGGAAGCCACCCTACGATGGGTGTTGTTCGACCCTAAAAGAGAGGAACATTTCCTGGAGCTCGTTGAGCTGGTGAGGCCTGAGTCTCTCTCGTTACCATTTATTTCTGAACTTTTGACCACGATGAAATGCTCTGACCCCAAAGCCAGGCTCATCAGCAAGCTCAATGAACATTTCCCAGCCTCTTGGTCAGTGGGACGATCGATGAGGAGGGTCAGGGAGACGCTCCTTGTCCTGGGTGGGCCTCACGATCAGGATGAACAGGCACTGTATCTGTTTCACCCTCAGACTGGACGATGGCAGAGCTGTGCACCTCTGCAGAGGAAGAACCTAACTCAGTATGCTGTTGCTGCAGTGGGTAATGACTGTGTGTCACATGATGATGTTGTTGTGATTAAACTGACAATGATTGGAGACTGTAAATTAGATCTTCCCACACTCATCGCTACAGTAGTCCCTCACTTATTACAGGGGTTACGTTCTAAACACCCCCACGATAGAGGAAAATCCACAAAGTAGGAACATTATATTTATTTTAGTATATATATATATATATTTACAATTTTTAAGGCTTTATAAACCCTTCCCACACACTTGCAATGTTCTTAACCATGTTCTAAACTCTAAGCGCTCTAAAAGAGCACAGCAAAAGAGAGACAGGCTCGGTTCAGGTGATTATTTTAAATAAACAATCCATGCCGCTTGTGCGGCTCACACAGACATAAGACAGACCCCCCCCCCTTTCTTTTTACAAGGCTGTCTGTTGCGCGCCCGCCTGTTGTGTGTCTCTGCTCTACTGTCTGCTGCCTCAGAAAGAGAAAGGAGGTGAGGGGGGTCTGTCTTATATCTGAGTGAGACACACTCAGCCACTCTCTGTTCATCTGATCTGTTCGTCTCTGCTCCCTGAGCAGTAGTGATTAAGAAAGACAGACCACACCCCCACCCCTCCTTTCTCTTTCTGAGGCAGGTGCGTAACAGATCAGAAAAAGAAAGGAGGGGGCAGGGGGTCTTTCCCTATCGCCAATCGTGTCGTGCACAATCTTATGTTGAAAACCAGCAAAAGAGTGAGTCCATGAAAGTCGAACGGCGAAGTATCGAGGGTCTACTGTATTTAATTCCTCCATAAAATTCAAATAATGACCTGATGTTTTTATTTTCCTCTAAAAGTATGTCTTCTATATTTTCTGTTTAGGAGACAGTGTGGTTGTGACAGGGGGTTACTTCCGGGACGTGCTGTGGTTCAGTGTGGACTGGGTCAGGATTTATGAATGTGGGAACCAGCGCTGGTTAGATGGGCCGGCGCTGCAGAAGTCCAGACACAGCCACTGCTCCATAGGGCTTGATTCAGCTCTGTACGTTCTGGGCGGCAGCATGGACGAAGGCCTTGTGGCTGATGTGGAGAAGCTGGTCCTGAGGTCAGAAGATGGTTGGGAGGGACTGAGCCCCATGGTCAGGGCAGTGGAAAGGGCTGCCACTGCTGCTGTGGGAACGTGTATCTATATAGCATGTGGTCTGGATGAAAACGGAGACGTGTATGCTGGAATTCAGAGGTATGTGGTGAATAAGGATCAGTGGGATGTGGTCTCCTACTCTCCATTTCCCCGGTGAGTCAATGTTTAGGAGTTTCTCATCTTCTCTGTCTAACATCGCCTTTATTCCTGCACTTTCTTATACTAAAGTGTTGAATTTAAGTAAAAAAGTTAAATTAGATTTTTAAACTCTCTTTAAAGATACGACTTGGTTGCCACAGAGCTCAACGGTGCTCTCTACCTGTTTGGAGACCAAGCGCTACGTTTTGACGTAGAGACGGATGAATGGACTGTGCTAGAAGAAGAAACTCTGGAGAGAAAGTTCTTCTCTGGCTGCACCACAGTGAGAGGTCAGATCTACCTGGTCAGTGAGAGGAAAAGTAACAAAGCTGTCCCAAACATGATGCTGCTCGACCCCTACATAGACACATGCATAGAGGTGGAAGACGCCATGCCCTGCCATGTTCCCATCAGAGGATGCGTCACCATGAAAATGGTCACATAGTCAAGTGGCAAAAAAAAGAAGAAGCAATATCTTTATTTATATGCATAAAAAAAGCCTGAAACTGTGTGCAATTCTTGTGTCCTAAATAAAAAACGAGGATGTTTTTCCTTTAAAACCAATCCAATATTCACATTTCAAGGCTTCAGTGCTATTTTATCAGACATGGGAATTTATTAAAACTTTTCAACAAGTCACACAATAAACAAAATATCCATGTGCACTCATTGCATAACAGTCAAGTGTAACTTTCATAAAACAATACAGTTTCTCCAGTTTTTTTAAAATATCTATAAAAAAACATTTATTAGGTTTCTTTTTTTTTGCTTTCCAGTGGCTCAGCCCTTTTTGTTTTCAGTTCCACTTTATATTTTAGTGTTTCTACTTTTGTCTCAAAAATCAGAAGATGCCAGCGCACACTGACAGCAAATGTAAAAACTCTCAGAAGCAAACTGCACAGTGTCACAGTGAACAAAAAGGCAAGTTTTGAACGATGCGCCCTAACGTGCCGGATAAATAAGTTTTATCAGTTAACCGCACAAAGCCAGTTTATTCATCTAAAAGTACGTCACTTTTTTTCAAAAGAAACTTTGTTATCTGAGACACGAAGACATGAAGTATCTCACTAATGCAACTGTGCACAGGTTTTTTATGACTTACTCAGGTAACCATGGCTTTTATTTTATTCATTTGTTATTAATTTATTTTTTCAGATTTTGTCCAGTGAAGTTAATCACTTTTAAGCACACAGATTTCAGACTGAGCGCTTGTGGTAAAACAGTGAAAACAAAACAGCAGCCTAAGGCACGAAACAAGACTCTGTGCAAACTTTAACAAAATATGGTTTTGAGTAAATTGTGGCGTCAGTCAAAGTTTAGCAAGTAGCAACAAGCGACAAATAAAACTCATCTGTGTTTAGTCCGTTATTTCATTACAGTTTTTCATAGTTAAAATAATCAGCAGATGTGTTCCGTGCAGAAAAGTAGACAAGTAAATTTTCGCACACTAGAGGGCGCTATATCCATTATAGACCTGAACATGAGGAACTTCATCAAATCTATAGTTCCCATGAAAGTTTTTCAGAAGTATTTTATATGTCACATACTACAACCTCACAATAATCTGATGTGTAAAAGTTTAACAAAAATTCTAAACCTGGTTTATGAACAGAACACTATATTCAGTGTTTTAAATAATCTATATACAAAGATCCATCAAGCTGTGAAAAGAAGTACAGAATGTGTATCCTTATTTATGCTCTATTTAAAATAAACCACATGTCACAGGACAGTTTGTCTTATTATAGAAAATATTTAGTCTTTTCAAAAAACAAACAGACTGAAAATGAATTAAACTGTTCTTTCTTTCCAATATTTACAAACAAGTAGTTAAAATAACATTAAAAATAGCATAAATACAAAATCTACCTAAACTAGTTAAACGTAAAGTGACTAGTTTCTTGTTTTTAAAATTAGCTTTTGCAATTATTTGAGGCATGATGCTTCCTCCTTTTCATTTCACTGGTTGTAAAGATCTACAATCATCTGTGTTTCTCTTTTTTGGGAAAAATAAAATAAAAAGTTAAATGCAGAACTAACATGACCTGAAACTGTGTTAAACGTACACAAGTCAAGTGGAAGGAATTAGTTAGTCTCCAGTCAGTGAAAGTAGACGTCTATGTTTCCAGTGAGGTTTGGTAGACGTATGTGGGGAGCTGATCCACTATCTGGCTTTCGGCAGCCTGCTGGTTACACTCCCCTGATTGGTCAGGTTGTTCAGGACACAGTTGCTAGCCAGCGATGTCTTTTGCCTTTGCTCCCAGTTGCATTCATTTCCTTCATCCTCTGGTTCCTCCTCCACCTCCTTGTCATTGTCGTCTTCACTGTCTGCATCACTGCGTTCATCTCCCTCAACCTTTGGAGAAAAGTTCAAGGTTATGATCGACCCTCTAAATGTACAGCTGCCATTTGCTGATTCAGCAGCACTCACCTTGCCCTTGAAGACAAACTTGCGGACCATCCTCACAATAAGGTAGGCCCAGAAGATGTGCAGCGCTTGGAGCACCAAGAGCAGAATGTTGAAGAAATAATACCCAAAAAATGGCTGGTAGAACTCAAGAGACAGCACCATGGTTGTGTGGATAATTCTGGAAAACAAAAGGATGCACACTTGTATATAACAGTGGTGGGCACAGCTTAAAAAAAGATAGTTTTGCAACAAAAATGGCTAAATCATGTCATCTGGACCTGTTTCAGAAATGGGTCCAGCTGACATGATTTAGCCATTTTTGTTAATTCAGCACTGTTTTTCTGTATCAGATCGGCCGACACTAAATCAAAGATATCGGTATCGGACTGGTAGTGAACACAAAAAAAAAAAGTGGATCTGTGCATCTCTAATCTGGACAGTATATTTTTTAAACTGTCCAGATGACCTGACTGACCATTACTGGGCAAAGCAGAACTCTGCTGTGCTGAAACAGAGTGATGCATTCAATGTGAGTCGGACGTCTCACTCGTGTCATTTACTATAATGAATTAACTCACTTTAGCAATCCTCTTTGTGGTTAACTACTTTCATATACTAGCTACAAAGATGCTATGAGCCATCATCAATATTCTCTTGGTAATAAATCTGTATTATAGTAAAGATGTGTGAAGAAATGTGTGAGAGTCCTGTCCCAGAGACAATGTTAGCATAGCAAAGCATGCTGGGTAGGAGTTATGTGTGCAATGTTTCTGACTGTTTACGATGTTTCTGAGTGTGAAAATGTTTGTTTCATGTTTTCAAAGTTAGAGCAAATGTTTATCCACTAAACAGAAAGTTGGTTCCGTTATTAGCGGACTAGCAGAACCGTGCCCATCACTGATACTTACATATTACAAACAGTCATATTATTGTCTTTTTCTACTGCAGTTTTTTAACATACATTTTAATTGAAATGGTCACAAATACTCACAAATGGTCACTAAGTTAAAAGCAGCTGATTCATCAGCCTCAAGCCAACGTTCAGTCTTACCTGCAAGGAAACACCACCAGTCTTGTAATCAGGAAGACGACGGCAAAGACGACAAACAGTGAATCACACGTCCTCGTCCACACTGCATAGTGAAACATCTTGGCAGACTTGTGAAGAAAAATAGACACCAAAAGTACAACTTATTCATTAATTCAAACACTGACACTGTATATGCAGTTTGTGTTTCTGAAGAAAGACTGAAGGAGGGTTAAACCCAGATTCTGCAGAACATTGTATCATCGAGATTTACCATGAAGACATTTAAGTGACTTTAAGCGATCCTAAAGGTTGTGTACTTGACAAGGAACTGAAAAGCAGCATGGTATTCACTGCTGAGTTTAAGGTTTTTAGATGTTCAAGCAGCTTCTACCCAACAACGCCTTTTTGCTTCCTCTTGGCTCAGTGTTAGAACTTCTAACCCCTGAGACTTTTCCAAAAGAGACTGTTTCAAGTGGGTTCTTTACAAATGCAGATGACTGTAAACTTGTTCAGATAGAGACTAAATACAAAGCAAGCCTGTCAAGAAGAGAGGAAAGACATTAAATAGAGTCAAAGAGAGTCTAAAATTAAAATTATTACAGCAAGTCAGTTTGTGCATGAAGAATGCAAGTTACTACGGTATTTGACTTTGAAAACATCTCCTTTAATCTCTGTGCTTCTTATTTGTTTCTCCCAGCACACTTGCCTGTAATAAATCTTGTCACATTTTTTTCAGTTCTAGTTTTTAGTCCACTCAGACTTCAGCAATTTGTGTTGACATCCACAAACGTCAGACCAATACTAAATGTTCAAACTGAAACAGTATTCTTCAAGATATAAAAACTGCATATTTGACATGTGTCCTGACATTGAACCTAAACCTCAAATCTGATTGTACTCTTTGCATCTCTTTGTAACATCTGTATCTTTACATCTCGACACCATTGAGCCAATTGTGAGGTAAAATGATTAGCCCTTCATTCTTCCTCAGCTTTAAGATGACGCCGACTATCTTGGTTTTCAGATCTTATCAGTGACATGTAGGATTATCAGTCAAATAAAACAAAAGGACGAGGAAGTAGTTGTATCTCTGCAAGACCAGGGAGTTAAACTCAATCTCTTTCTGTAGATTCGTGGACACACCTAAAGATTTTTCTTGTGACTTTCTAGTGTTATTATAGGTCACAATACATTTGCCTGTATTCTGTTCACAATACACTGCAATGTCTAAAAGTTTACTGTAACTATAACTGTAACTTCAAAAAGCATTCAATACAAAAACAACTGGACTTTATTTGTAACAGAAGACGTTTCGCTCCTCATCCGAGGAGCTTTCTCAATTCAAAGAGCAGAGAGTGAGAGATACAGGTTATAAGGCTGAGTGAACCTGTATCTCTCACTCTCTGCTCTTTGAATTGAGAAAGCTCCT